CCTCAACGGACACGATGATAGATCAGAGGCTCACAGGTGCCGTCTTGGCTACAGTCACAAACACAGGTCACACACCTAGGAGCTAAGGGCTTTGCCACGAGACTGCATTGCCTCGTAGATCAGCTATACATACATGACCCCAGATCTGCTGCCCAGGCCAATCCCCTCTGAGTTCCTGGTTGGCGGCACCAGCACCCTCATCATCCACACTGAGACATTTCCAGGCACACCAAATACTGCGTGTCCAGCAGCGAGCTCATGGCCTCTCTGGTCTCTTGCTCGTGTCTCTCCAGCAGCATCTCCATCTGGCCAAGGCTGGAAACTCAGCCCGTGATCCTCCCTCAACGTCCTTCAGACCTAATCTTGTTGGTGGAGAAGGGAATGACGTCCCCCACGCATATCCAAGTGCTGATCCCGGAACCTGAGAATGTGTCATCTGACATGGCAAACGGGAAAAGACCCTGAGATGGAGATGCTCCTGGATCACCTGGGCTGCCTCAGCCACAAAGGCCCTCCCGAGAGGGAAGCAGAGGCCAGAGTCAGGGAAGGGGATGGGGTGGTGGAAGCAGAGGCGAGGGAGAGGAAGACGCGCCACTGCTTGGCCTTAACGTGGAGGGGGCTAAGGAACGTGGGAAGCCTCTAGAAGCTGCAAAGGCAGGGAATGGAGTCTCCTCCAGACTCCCAGAGGGAACACAGCCCTGCCACACCTTGATTTTAGAACTTCTGACTTTGAGACCTTCTGTGTGATTGTAAGCTCCTGAGTCTGGGGCTGTTCGTTTTGGCAGCTGTGAGGAACTTACACCACAGTGTGGTGGCTAAGCACGTGGCCTCTGCATGGGCTGAGTTCAAAATACCCATTGCAGGCTTGTGAAGGTTGAAAGCATTGTTCCGGGGAAGTGCCCAGAGCTGGGCCCAGCCATGGTAGGCTCTGCACAGGGCAAGTGCTTCGGTCACAGGTGCTACAGTCGCGGCTGCTATTCCTACTAACAGCCCCCTGAGTGCGTCCAGATCCCCTCTTGGCTCCCTTGCCGTCTGCCGGTGCAGGCTGGGCTCCCTTGCACTTCCTGATGGGTTCCCTGCAAAGCTGGCAGGTCCTGGCCTGTGGCTGCCTTCTCCCTGCCCGTCTTGCAGGGATTCCGTGCCCTCAGAGTGAAGACCCTCTCAGGAGGCCCTGCACAGCCTGTCCTCATCCCATGGCGATACTGCCCCCTTTGCCTCCAAACACTCACTTCATCTGGCCTCCCACATTAGCTGGCCCGGGCTCCTCTAGGCCCACCACCCACCCTCACCACCTCCCTGCCGTGGCTTGAGTGTCCCCTCTGAAATTCATGTTGAAATTTAATCCCCCAGGCGCAGCGCTGAGAGGTGGAGCCTTTAAAAGGCAGTTAGGTCATGAGGGCAAGGCTAAATCATCACTCGTGGATCCCTAGACTCATGGGAGCGGGGCTGCTGGCTTTCTAAGAAGAAGGAGCAGGACCTGAGCCAGCACGCTCAGCCCGCTCGTCATGCAATGCTCTGCAGAGTCCCCACCAGCAAGAAGGCTGTCACCAGAAGTGGCCGTGCGGCATTGCACTTTTCAAGTCTCCAGAACTATAAGAAATAAATTCCTTTTCGTTATAAATTACCCAGTTTTAAGTATTCTGTCGTGAGTAACACTAAACAGACTAAGACATTCCCTAATAAGCCTGCCTCATGCCGTTCGAAGCCCTCCCAGCCACGCCTGGCCCAGGTTGGGTACCTGTGTAAGGGGCCTGTGCACACTGAACTTCCCGGGGCTCCTGCATGCTTAGAATTACATGTCCAAGCCAGGCACAGTGGCTCACGCCTGTAATCCCAGCACTTTGGGAGGCTGATGAGGGCAGATCACCGGAGGTCAGGAGTTCAAGACTAGCCTGGCCAAAATGGTGAAACCCTGTTTCTATTAAAAATACAAAATAACTCGGCTCACTGCAACCTCTGTCTCCTGGGTTCAAGCAATTTTCCTGCCTCAGCCTCCCCAGTCGCTGGGATTATAGGCATGCGCCATCACGCCTGGCTAATTTTTGTATTTTTAGTAGAGATGGGGTTTCACATATTGGCCAGGCTGGTCTCGAACTCCTGACCTCATGATCTGCCCACCTCAGCCTCCCAAAATGCTGGGATTACAGGTGTGAGCCACTGCACTCGATATTGTGCCACTGCACTCCTGCCTGGGTGACAGAGCAAGACTCTGTCTCAAAACAACAGCAGCAAACAAACTAATAGCCGGGCGTGGCAGTGTGCACCTGTAATCCCAGCTACTCAGGAGGCTGAGGCAGGAGAATCGCTTGAGCCTGGAAGCAGAGGTTCCAGTGAGCCGAGATCGCGCCACTGCACTCCAGCCTGGGCAACAGAGTGAGACTTCATCTCAAAAAAAAAATATGTCCAGTGTTTGGCCACCTGGATTGCAAATCCCACATAGTCACAGGCCATGGTGTTCCCCATGGGGGCCCAGTGCCAGTTCCGACTGCCAGGTCATCGCGTGTCAGTGTGTAGCCTGTTGTCCCTGTGCTGGAACTTCCAGCTTGGTAACTATTTGAATGGGTGAGTGAATGACCCTAAGATCCTTCCCACACATTTCTTCAGTGGACACTGGAGAAAGCAGCACGGGGACACCCTCTCCTCTGCCCAGATGCCTGGGGCAGGGAGGGCCTGGTGGAGAGTGAGGTGGCAGCTTCTCCTTCTTCCTCCCTTGGGGTGTCTCTGCCCTCATACTCGCTCTCCAGCCCCCACCTACACCTCCATGGATGGTGACCCATGATCTGGACCGGGTCTGGGGAGTTTTCTAGAAGGAAAGTGATCCTGGCATTGTTGGGGATACCTCCTGGTCCCTGTCTCCCTTCATGGAGAGGGCAGGTGTCCCGGGCAGACAGAAGAACCTGGAATCCATCCGTGGGAAGGAATGCCCCCTTCCAGCCCTGTTCCCACACGGTGCTCAGCCTTTCCTGCTTCTTCATGTAGCCGAGGGACGAGGTCTGTGAGGGGCTGCCCTCTGGACACCTGGCTCGCTCAGGAGCCTTTGAAAATCAGAGGTTTCTCTCACAGTGTCTGCATTGCAATGGAAGTCATTTGAGACGCGGAATTACCCTAGAGACATGAGGGGAGTCTCTCGGTTGCACCTGCTCATTCTGCTAGGTGCACTGGGTTTAAACAGGAGGAAGAAATCATTTCTGACTTTGTAGACGCTGCCTGCGTAGCATGGTTTTAGGCTCTGCTCATGATCACTGGTAGGGGAGGGCTGTGACCAGCCAGGGAGGGGCAGGTAGGTGGCCAGCAGCATGCAGAGGTTATCAGTTAAGCAAGGCCAGACCTGGTCAGTGAGTGATGAGAAAGCTGAGAAGCTTCTCGCTCCTAAGCTAAGAAGCCTCTTGCTCCTAAGCTAAGAAGGTGGTGTGAGGCCAGTCGGGGTACAGGGCTGGCTGCCTGCCTGGAACAAGTTCCAGGTGGCTCTCCCTCCCATCTGTGTGGTCTCTGCTTCTAGTGCCTTTCACTCACCTGAGGACACACACTGGGGACACAGGCACCTTCCCCATTCAGAGCCAGGCAGCCCCCGCACCCCGCCAAACCTGTCTTTGTCCAAGGAACCTGCAACCTGGCCGCATCCTCTGCTCCAGTTTCTGCCGGGACCCCATTCTGCCCCTCGTCAGGCCTAAATGGGATCCTCGAGGATCCTCCTTGAAGGGAGATGGACCCCTTCCTCCTCCAGGCTCCCCGACAGCCCCTCTGATGGGGTATCCTGGGGCTTCCAGAGCAGTACCACAAACTTAGGTGGCTAAAAGCAACAGAAAGTTGTTCTCTCACAGCTCTGGAGGTCGGAAGCCCCAAGTCAAGGTGTGGGCAGGTCTAGTTCCTCCCGAGGCTGAGGGGAGTCTGTTCCAGGGCTCTCTCCTGGCTTTGGTGGCTGCTGGCATCCTCAGCACCCCTTGGCTTGTGGATGCATCACTTCCATCTCTGCTCCGTCCTCACATGGGCTTCCTTGCCCTCCACATCCCGCTCCTCCTCCTCTGTCTTGTAAGGATACTCATCATTGGATTTGGGGCCCGCTCTAATCAAGGATGATCTATTCTCAGGCTCCTTACCTCATGTCTGCAAAGACCCCTATTCCAGATAAGCCCACAAGCACTGGTGCCAGGGCTGGGACTCGGACAGATGTTTGAAAGGGACACATGTCAGACCCCTCTGCCATCAAATGCCTCTGAACAGGAAAACAGGACACTGTCCTAGGGAAGGCTGGGGCAGGGCGAGCCAGCTGGGTGGTAGGGGGACCTGGGGGCAGCTCTGCCCTGCACAGGCTGGGGCTGAGGATTCTCCATGTAGGAATTCCCTTGGCAAGACCATGATGCCACCCAGATTCCTCCCTCAGCCCCCCCCCCCCACTGCCCCCAGAGAGCACAGCGCACCACTGATGCTGACCATTCCTTGGGTCATCTCCTCGCTTAAAAAATCCTTGAAGCTTGGAGCACTTTGGGGTCTTGGGGGGAGGGGAGTGCCCTGTGACTCCTGGTCCTCTTGGCCTGCTGCTCTGTCTGCTGTCATGGAACTAATTTTCTTTAGGGGTTAATCTCCAGTTCCTGGGGATGCTCTTTCTAAATAAGCTCTGTTTCCTAGCATGAAAGATTTCATGTGGATTTTTTTAAACAAACACAATAATAATTAATTCAAGGTCTAAGAATAAAGGCCTCTCCGCGTCCTGACTATAGCGTGATGCTGACCAGCCTGGATGCAGGCCGTAGAAGGCTCCCTGAGCTGCTGGGAAGGGGCTCTCGAAAACCACCTCAGGGCAGGGGTCCTGGGCTGCCGGGCTCCCTCCCATGACTGGAGAACCATTTTGACAGTCCAGGTAGGCACGGCACTTTGGAGGCCAAACAGCCCGGCAGCTGGGGAAGCACAGGCACCTGTGGATGCTGCCTCACCTTGCATTTCTCTTTCCCTTGGATGGGGTCTCTGTCTCCTCACTCCTGTCCCCTCTTGTCTGTTTCCAGGATGCCTCCTCCTCGGCAGGATCTACCCCCACAGCTGTCCCGCGAGCTGCCTCGGTGTCTGGAGAGCAGGGCACGCCTCCCAAGGTCCAGCTGCCCCTCAACGTGTGAGCTGCCCTTTGTGTCTGTCGGGGTCCCGTGCCTGCAGCCCTCCCTCCTGCCTGGGCTGGCCTGTCCCCGTGTGGTTTCCGCGGGGTTTTCCCATGTGTTACTATTGGCCAGTATAGTTATGTGCATCTAATAACACCACTGAAAGGAGAGTGTGGAAGACAAAAGTCTAGCAGTTCCTTTTGATGTTGATGTTCCTAGGACATTTCTTCTAAGCAGGGAGGATATTCAGAGTATTCACAATGCAGGTCCCAGTCAACAGGAGAGGAGCCAGCCATAGTGTGGAGCAGGCTCTCCATAGCATGGGAAGTCCGAGATTAGGGGGGAGAGGCAGGAGGGAAGCAGGTGCGCAGAGCAGCAGGTAGTCTAGGAGCCTGGGCAGCCAGTAGTTACCAACTGCTTGGAAGTGGTTCTGTGTTTCAGCCTCCATCCCAGGGCCACACCAGCGCATGCCAGCTGCATCTCATCCCCAAATATAACCAGATGAATCAGTGCTAGGAAGTGAGATACTTATCTTGTTTAGAACATCTGCCCAGTTAAATTACAGCTCTTAACAGATAAGTGCAATTTTAAAATTCCCCATTTAAATCATGCTCTGAAGAATTAGACTCCCTTTTGCTCTTGTGTTTGGCAGAGCTCAGTCACTGGAATGACTGTGTTTAGGTGAAGTCTATGAACTTGGCAAACAATATGACAAATACAGAAAGCTCTGTCAATGCAGGCTGGGTCAGAGGTCAGAGGGACACTCAGAACTTGTGTTGTTGCAGAACAGGATGTATTTTTTTTTTTTTTTTGAGATGAAGTCTTGTTCTGTCTCCCCGGCTGGAGTGCAGTGGTGCAGTCTCGGCTCACTGCAAGCTCCATACCCCAGGTTCACGCCATTGTCCTCCCTTAGCCTCCCAAGTAGCTGGGACTACAGGCGCCCGCCACCACGCCCAGCTAATTTTTTGTAATTTTTAGTAGAGACAGGGTTTCACCGTGTTAGCCAGGATGGTCTCGATCTCCTGATCTTGTGATCCACCTGACTCGGCCTCACAAAATTCTGGGATCACAGGCGTGAGGCACTGCGCCCAGCCGAACAGGAGGTATTTCAAGCAAAAAAGTATTTTGAAGAGCAACTTGCCAAGCTTCAGAAGGTCTAGAAGTAGCTCAGCTGCTGGCACACGCTCAGCCACCTCTAAACCCAGTGGAAACACCAGCCTTTCTCCAGTGGTCGGCAAGAAAGCTCCCAATATCCTCCCACTGTGATTAACTGATGTAATGAAAGGAATTTGAAATGTGCCTGTTTTTACCTAGTTTCCTGAGCAGGCTACTTCCAGATGCCTTGAGACTGATATTCAAGTTTTCACCAGCACTGGACAAAATAAAATACTCCCTCCATCTCCTGCCATGCTCAGAGCTCAGTTCTGGCAGCTTCAGGCAAAGCTGGTGCCAAGGAGGCACATGGGAGGGTGGGGGGTGACGGGTTCGCTCCTCTTGAAGAATTGGATGCAGAATGCTATCTGAGGAAAGAAACCTGCACCCACAGTGGATGGCCCTGATGGTTTCCCAAACGAGAGGCAGGACGCGGGTCAGGTTGCTGAGGCCATGAGTGCTTCAAGGGCAAAGCCCAGATGGGTTTGTTTTGGAGTCCCCATGACCAGCTGAATGCCTGTACACAGGCTCTCAGTAGCTGCCACTTGTTCTATGAGAGCAAAGCCTCCCCTTCCTGGGTGCAGAGGGCTCCCCAACGTGAGGCGAGCTCAAGGATTAGCCATCCGAGAAGGCTGCTTTGTCCTGGAGACCCAAAAGGTAACAGTTCCAGGCATGTTGCCCCTCAAGAGTTGTGAATATTCTGGAGGCCTCAACCGTGGACAAACCTCCAGGTCCCGGATGGCTTCTGAATTTGGTGCAGGTGTGGAGGGACCTCTTCTTCACCCAGTTCCCCTGCCCTGGGGGACAAGGTTGCTGTGACCTCTAGCCCTCCACCGTCTCCCTCTGGGCTTCTCTCCCAGGGGAGGGTACTTTCCACTCAACTTGAGATTTGGGTAAGAGGGAAGGGAAACTTACGTGTCGGACAACATCCTTCTAAGGATGACAAGGATTTAGGTAGGAATGTGTCTGCAGGTGACACAGCGGCCCTCCATGCAGCAGCTGGATCATGGGCAGCATGACCTGTGACTGGTGATGGTCCGTTCCATGTGTGTTCGTGGCTGTTATATTGAGTAGCAGTCACATGCCAGGTAACATTACATATGTTACAGCAGCATGCATGATGCATTCTGAAAACATGACATCCTTTATTTTATCCCCAGAGAGGAAAAGATCAGACTGACCTCATCAGTTTATGAGGGAGGGGATTAGCCTGACTGCTCACCTGTCCTCTTCCGCTGTAAGACGCTGATATTCCCACACGTACCCTACCTGTGGCGGGTACCTGGGGTGGGGGTCTGATCTAACCATTCTTCCCAAAATAGTATCTGTAAGTCACGTTCAGAAGTCTGAAATCCATCATGAGATGTGCTGTCGTTGCAAAAACAACCACAGTAAACAACAGCACGCTGCTGCCCGGAGAATGATGGCTTGGGGACTCCAGCCAGGGCCCAGATGGGGCTGATGTGAAAGTCAGCCATGGAATGACTTCAGGAGACCTCGTTCCTGATCTTCGTAATTGCATAGCTTTGACCTCTCCAGGCCACATCATGTGCGCTGAAACATGAGCCCTTGAGGTTAAGAGGCCTGATCCCGCACGGTTAGCATGTCGATGGCTGGATGTTGTTCTTGCGCCTTCTTCCAGCATGTGAAAGGCTTCCATGGCATGGATTCCCTAAGGGCTCAGTTGCCTGGAAACACAAGAAGGGTCTCAGTTTGCTCACCCAGTGCATGGAGGCGACTGTGAGTCTGCAGAGACATCTCTCATTCCTGCACCCCCTTTCCACCCCCTACTGTGTTGAGAATTCCACTGTCTGGCCCTGGGGCTTGTCCGCTATTCCTCTGACAGACCTGCTGTGATTTGGGGAAACAGAAATATGAGTGTCTGCTCCTAGAGGCCATGCTCCTGGGCACAGCCAACCCACCCAGAGGGTCTCAAGGTTGATGAAACGCTGTGAGTAGGTTGCCTCTGATTCGGAAGGGTTGATTCTCACCTCCACTTCTTCATGGGCATCTTAGAGCCACTGCCTGATGTGAAGAACCAGAGGAGGCAGGGAGAGGGCATAGGGCTTCCCTGCAGGAGCCATCCGAGATGTCCCGTCATCACCTACAGCAATGGAGGAGGTGGAGGAGGAGGAAGAAACAGGTATCAGACAGACACGCCTGGGTCTGGCTTGGTCTGCGTGCCTGCAATCCGAGAGCAACGTAACTCTCGGCACAGAGCCTTGGTCTGGGACTGCATGTCAGCTTGCCATCAGAGAAGGAAACTTCCACAGTCGATGGGTGCAGTTCATCACCTGAAGGGAAAACCAGGTACCCTGTGAGGTGCGTGACCACCCAGATGGCACCTGAGGGACCTGGGAGTCCTATCCAGGAGCCCAGAGGAAGACTTAGGGAGAGGAAGGGGTTGGCCTGCAACAGGGAAAGGGAAGCCCAGGGGAATGGTGGCCAGCAGTTTTCATCCTCCCCTGCTAGGGTGCAGACCAGGTCCCTGGATCTGGTGGTTGACATTGGTCATGTGAGACGTGCTCTCTGTCATGGCAGGGATAACCTCACAGGCCTTGATGTGATCAGGAGTGACCGCCTCATGACCCCACTGCCATTTGTGCGTGTGGTCAAAAGGCCACCGAACCAGCCTCAATAACAACAGTCCCCACATTCTAGGACACAGGAAAAGGACTGCTGACCAAACCATGCCAACACAAGACAGGGGCACCTTCCACTGCAAATTCAGAGAACAGGCTGGTGCTGCACTCAGCCTGCAATGGACTGCATCAGCGTGAGTTCAAGACAACAGGACTCGGTAAAATAAGTCCCTGCCAGGCTTGGAACGAAGGCCTGGAGCAGCAAAATCACTGGGTACTGCTCCCAAGAGGTGTCTTAGAGGCCAGCCATCCAACCTCCTCTGACAGTGCCCAGCCTTGTGGTCAGCCTGCCCCCATGGTCAGCCCTTCCAGGCATTGGCAGCACCGTCCTCAGGATATTACAGACAGATGCGACCAAGAGTATGAGAGTGAGCCTGAGAACCACCGGAGGGGTGAGTGCTCTTCATCCCCACCTCTGCCACCTGCACCTCTAGAGAGAGGGCAGAGCTGGGACCCCCAAGCAGGTGGGGAAGTGGGAAGAGCAGAGAATTTTATTGAGAGAGTCTCTGGATGACATAGAGCCTGGCGAGCAAAGGTCAGAGATGTCTGGGGCCGCTGCAGGGCCGGTTGCAGTGGAAGGAAGGAGATGCAGGCCCAGGTGGTAGCAGCACATCCCCAGCGATACCAGCATTGTCTAGGTTGGGTTTCCTGGAGGCAGACCCTGAGATGGGGAGGTTTGTGGGGAGTGCTCTCAGGACACACCTGAGCTGTGGCTGAAGGGAAGCCTCGCTGATCCTCAGGGCTCTGGAGCCGAGACAGCCCTGCGGAGTTTCCCCATTGGAAGTGAGCCAGTGCTGGCTTCAGGCTGCCCTTTGAAGAGGTAGTCATGGGTGATGATGCACCCTGAGGGAAATTCCCAGCACAGCCACCACAGTGAGTGATCAGCCACTCATCGCCCTTCAGAGGCCCGAGGCTGGGCATCCCTGGGCCCTGTCCAGTGGTGGGGCTTCAGCCTCAGAATGCATCTGAAACACAGGCAAACCTCATTTCATTGCACTTCATTTTGTTGTGCCTCACAGATACTACATTTTTCTTTTTTTTTTAACAAATGTAAGCTTTGGGGCAACCCAGCATCCACCAAGTCTAGTGGTGCCATTTTTCCAACAGCATGTGCTCACTTTGAGGCTCTGTGTCCCATTTTGCTGATTCTCATAATATTTCAGACTTTTTCATTATATCTTTATGGTGATGTGTGATCAGTGATTTTTGGTGTTACTGTTGGA